GACCCACTGGGTCTCTCTCTGGTCAGTTTCATACCCACTGGAATTCTCTCTGGTCAGTTTCAGACCCATTGGGTCTCTCTCAGGTCAGCTTCAGACCCACTGGAATTCTTTCTCTGGTCAGTTTCAGACCCATTGGGTTTCTCTCCGGTCAGTTTCAGACCCACTGGAATTCTCTCTCTGGTGAGTTTCTGACCCATTGGAATTTTTTCTCTGGTCAGTTTCAGACCCATTGGGTCACCCTCTGGTTAGTTTCTGACCCATTGGAAGTCTCTCTGTGATCAGTTTCAGACTCGGCCAGGTGAGTTTCAGATCCCTGGGACTCCTGGTTGCAGACGGTTTCACATCCAGCTTGCAGCAGACGGGAGTCGGGTGAGGTTGATACAACCTGACTCACACTGCGATGACTCCTCGCCGAAGCCGGACTGGAGTTTACAATTGCCTGTTTTTCTTTTGTTGTTGTTGAACCCTGGCTAATGAGCAAACGATCCCGATCGAAAACAAACACTGAATACAAAGTCAACACAGCAGCAACTCGCTCGTAAATCTTCAGCGCCCAAAACATAAATCCCTTTGCCGACAAAACTGATATGTTGATGTATTTTTGCTTCTGTATCTGCTGCCCTGACATGTCCCGGAAATGAGAACAAGTGAGTTAAAAACGCATTGAGAGCGTCTAAAGTTGGCTTATAAAACAGTAAAAGAATGACAAAAAGTGGTTGTATTAGGGATACTTTTCGCAACCCAGCCCCCCCCCCCCCACCTTGTATCTGCCACAAGATCAGGGTGTTCTCCTGATAAGAAGACGGTAAGCACCAGATCAGAAAAATCTGGGCTAGATTGACAACAACCTTGCAATGCCGATCCGCTTTGTAGTGCAGAGACAATATTTGCAAAGAAACAATTAAGTCACTTTTTTTGTCCGGTTCCCTTTGGGCAGGATGACGGGAGCGCGACTGCACGATGTAGAGATGAAGGAGATGCGCCGGGAAAGGAAAGTTGGTTGTTGTGAGATGCACTTACCCGGAGATAACTGAAGCCGGTTTATGTCGGATTGTACAAACTCCTTACAGTAGGTACTCTGATTAATCACCGCGCTTTACGCGCCGACCCACTGTTTACCGCCGGACTCCCTGTCAATCAAATATCGTCACAATCGTGTAACCATGGCACCGCCAAATCAGCAATCAGTACACGCCCACCCGACCGGCTCTTTTCCGAATTGACTGCTGGCGCTGCCAATCATTCCCCGCGCAGCCAATCGCCTGTTCTCCTGCAGTGCCGGCTTCGCGCCCCTAGATAGTGCTGTGCTACAGCACCCTCCCCGCCACCCACCCCCACCCCGTCCTTCCCATCCAGCGCCACCTGGAGGCCTCACCCTCCCCCACCAAAACGTCCGGGCCGGGCGGCTGTCTGCACCCCCTCGCCGATCAGAAATCAGCATCAGGTTGTTACCACGAGAGAAGCGCTTATACCATCCAATCGAAATCAGCCATTTGTCCTCGTTTCCCCCACTCTGTTACATTAGGAGGGGGATTCCCTCCACAGCTATCTTAAAAGAGCCTGTTCGCCAAATATCTATTAATATGCATTTGTTTTTGTGGCTTAAAGACGGGGTCCAATCTGAAGTTGACAGATCTCAGATTCTGCATTGAGTTCACTCAGACCCACTTAGGAGTTAACATCTAGAGAGGAGGGACTAAACAAAACAGCTGGACAAGGAACCGCAACTGCAGTCTTGCACCAGTCACTGTGTAAATGTCACTTTTATACGTTTAAAAACATCTACGCTTTTGTTTTACCCGGACAGGGTGCAGGGAGTCTGGAACATACTGGGCTGAGAAGGTAGTCAAGGCAAAAACTCTGCATACATCTAAAAAGTGCCAATAACCTGCAGGGCCACACACCAAAGACTGGAAAGTGAAATTACGCTGGCTGGCTATGTGATGGGCTAGATGACTTCTTTCTGTGTCGCAAACTTTCTATGATTGTTTGTCTAAAGAAAGAAGGAGAACGAGAGATATAAGGAGAATGATAGAAAGAGTTAGGGCACAGAATGAGGCCATTCAGCCCGCTATGGCTTTATTGGCCAAAATAGAAACATCCATTCGAATCCCCGATCTGCCACACAATAGATAGAGTATTGTATCTCAAGTGTATATACAACTTTTTTGAAAAAATGAAAACAGGTCTTTTCAACCCTCTCTGCCTAGCATGTGACGGTTCAATACACCTTAATTAAATCTTTTCTTAGCCTCCTACTTCCAAAGACAATGACCCCAGCCTATCAAACTACAGTCCCCTTGACTGTCCATAGAGGACACTCTACGAGTTGTGCTCAACCAGCCTGGTGCTTGCAAAATTCAGAACATCGTGTCTAACATTAGATGTGCTCCTGCTATTGGACAACATTAACTAAACTCTGACTGCACTGAGAATTACACTGGAAACCAATTCAAGATTATCAGCCAGGCTCACAGTGTTGTTCACTTATTCAAACATGGGACCCTATTCTTTGTAGCCAAGAATAATATGTTCACACATTATACCTTTTTATAATGATGTAAGGGCTATGAAGATAACCAATCACTGATACATCCACATGGTAATGCCCTGACCATTCAGAGACCACTAACTAAGACAGTTCTCACTGCATCTCATTGACAGCCACAGACCAACTAAACAATACCCCCTTCTTAAGCATCATATATTATTATTTCCTGTGTTCAATCCTGATTAGTGCAAAATGAGAAGGTCTCCTTTCATGTTTGTTATTAGCACTGATTATTGGTATGTTTTAAATCCAATTTTTACTCATAACTAAAACCCTCCATTTCCGGCAACATTTAATTCAATCTTTCTGTACCCTCTCCAATGTGATAACATCTTTTCTATAATGGGGTGACCAGAACTGCACACAGTACTACAGCTGTGCTCTCTCCATTGTCTTGTACAGCTCCGTCATTGTATTCATGCTTCCATACTCTAGGCCTCAACCAATGGAACCTTGCCTTCCAAACAGCATGATTCTGAACCTAGACACCTGTGGGTGTGGTAAATATGGAACGGAGCTGGTTATGCTGCTCACCTCTTTATCTGCCATCTCCTTTTTGTCAGATTGACAAGTTTTGTATCTGTCAGACGTTCAATGTGAATCATCGGCTTTGAGTTTCCTGTGGTTTGCTGGTCTTATATCTGTTCTGAACAACTACCACACGGGAGCTTCAGTCTATCTATAACAACTCATTCTAAAATTTCCCTGGCTGCATTACCTCATATTGTATGGAACCAGACAAGCACATCTTTCTACAAAAACTGCTATGTAGACTGAAAGGTGTGTGCCAACTTGCTGAGTAAGCCTCATTTATCCATTAAAGTAATCTTCCTGTGTTACACAGTTTCAACTCCTCACAGCTCCAATAACTTGTGAAAATTAGAAAAGTTCACACTCCTGGTGCGCGTGCTGAGAGAATACTGCACAATCAGAATTACCATGTATAGGATGAGACATTAAGATCCCAAATATGTGCAAAAGATCCCATGACATTACTCAGAGGAGCACGAAGCTTCTGTCCTGTGTCCTGACCAATTTTTATCCTCAACTAAGATCTGTAAAAAACAGATTATCTTGTCATTCGCACATTTCTGTTTATGGGATATTATTATGTGCAAACTGGTTCTCTCTTTTGTTACATTACAACAGTGACTACTTTTCAAAGTACTACATTGGCTATACAGCACTTTGGGAAATTCTGAAATTGTGACAAATGCAATGTATCTCAGTATAACCATTAACATGTTTGCTCTCCACAGTCCTGCAAATATCTTCTTTCCCATCATTTGTCCTATATTGTTTTCAGCGACTATTGGATCCATTTCCCTCACTCTTTCAGACAGTACAATCCAGATCGCATCAACTTGCTGCCTGAATGACAAGTTCTTAGTTATTTTCTCAGTCCTTTTCCATGATCTTAAATCTGAATTCTTCAGTTACTGAGCCACCTGACAGGAGGAAGTTATTTCTCCTTACTTACTTGATCAAAACTCCTTATAGACTGGAACCACTGGATTACAGTCTATTTTTCCCTCAGCATAATGCTGGAGTATCAGTCTGTGTCAAGCATATCTTCACTTGCTGCATTTTACAATCTTTGCCAGGTTGAATATACATACGAACAGATTCAAGAATATACACTTCCCTGCTGTTATCAGACTTTTGAATAGACCTCTCAAATGTTAATATTGATCTCTCTGTGCACATTCTCTATGGCTCTAACACTGTATTCTGCACTCTGTTCTGCTACCTGATGCACTTTATATGGTACGATCTGCCTGTATAGCATGCAAAACAACACTTTTCACTGTATCTCAGTACATGTGACATCAATAAATCAAATCAAATCAAATCGTGTAGAATAGGCTTCCGCAGAAAGTGGAAGTTGTTAGTATTGATTCAGTGCAAATTATATACAGCAGGTTTCATTCTGCAAGAAATATTTTGGGATACAGCATAATTTGTGACATGATAATTGTTTGAGAGGAACAGCAAAACATTGAACCCTTGGTTCTTAAATTTGTGAGGATTTTCCTCGCTGGTTAGAAATAAATTGATGGGGAGTGATTCCTACAATTAGTCAGCAGCTTTATGATTAGTTTATCATGTAGCTATCAGGATAGCATAAGGCAAACACAGATGGAGGTCAGTCACTGTCTCATCAGTTTCCAATGCTCGCAGATAGGTAAAGCAGCCAATTCTGCATCAAGAGTTACATTCATTCTGTAGTCCACAATCACTTGATGAGGCTCTCACAGTCACTGGATCAATACCATCACTTTAGCAAATCCTGAGTCCCAGAATATTATAAATTCTTTCTTTCTTCTGCTGTTTTTCTGGGTGCATTAATGCAATCTTTCTCCCTTGCCTTGTAATCCAGATGTTGGATGATTACACAGAACTACTTGGCCCAAGGCAAGCTGCTTAGTGCGATCACACTGCACTGGTATTCCTAGGCCTCAGCTTAAGTTCGTAGGCACTGATCTGCACAAATCTCCCAACCCATCGATGTCTCAGATTCAAAGTTTGCATCCTCGTGTTCAAATTCTTCCAATTCCTCACCATCTCTGTATGATCCTCCAGCACCACAGCCCTCTCTGTACCCCTTTAATTCCGGCCCCTTGCTCATTGTCAGTTTTTATCCCCCCATCATGGCTGGCCAGACCTTCAGCTGCCTTGGCCCCAAGCTGTGGAATTCTCTCCTCAAGCCTTCCTACCTCTCCCTTCTCCTTAAAGATCTTCATTAAAAGTGACTTCTATGACCGAATGCTTGCTCATCAATCCCCATGTCTCCTTCAGCGCCAATTTTGTTTGTCTGATTATGGTCCTTGGGGTGTGTTACCACAATGAAAGGTGCTATATAAGTGCAAGTTGATCATCAACCACTCATTCCTCGTTCCGCATCATTACAGCGAAACCGCTGAAAGGACTTCGAAAGACCTGGAGCAAGGGAAGGGAACGGAAAATTGCTACGTTGTGGAGGGGGAGAAAGACAGGAAGAGGGAGACATGTGAGGATTCCGATCTTGCATCCTGATGAAGGGTGTAAACCCGAAACGTCAACTTTCCTGCTCCTCTGATGCTGCCTGACCTGCTGTGTTCCTCCAGCTCCACACTGTATTGACTCTCTGATGCGTAAAGTTGTAACAAATTGACTAAGCTGAACAGTCTGGCAGTCAATGAAGCAAACAGAAATGTACTAGTACGACAGACCAGGGACCAGAGCTCCAGGCAGGCTTAGAGGCCCAGTCTAATACCAGGCTTCTAGCTGAAGTCACACTGCAATGGTGGCTTAGCCATTTGATCTATTTTATAGGTCAAATTTGAAAAGAATGCTGCGGAAGATGGGTGACCAGTTTTGAGGGCTCCCTCCCTTTCACTTCACTGCTGTTGCATCCAGCTGGAGCAGGACAGTGGGGGGTGGGGCGGGGGTTGGTGTCCCATCCATCGAGTTTTCCCACTGATTGTCTCTGAAACTTTTTTTTTGTGGGTTTTTTGTTTACCATTCCCAGGAGGTTCTATCAGCTGGATTATACAGAGTGGGCCCCTCCAGCTACAACTGCAAAACAAACCTACAGGGGCTAAATTTGCTGATGACCTCAGCAATGGGTAAGGGAGTGAGTCATAAAGAGGGCATTAAGTAGCCTGCTAAGGGACCGTAACACATTAAGTCGGTGAGCAAACGCTTGGCAGATGTGAGCAGTGTGAGGAAATGCGAGTTTTTGTTCATTTTGGCAGGTAGATTAGGAAAGGAATATAGTATTTAATGGATAACACAGTGCGGAGCTGGAGGAACATAGCAGGCCAGGCAGCATCAGAGGAGCAGGAAAGTTGACATTTTGGGTCAGGACCCTTCTTCAGAAATGGGGGAGGAGGGAAGGGGATAGGTTGCAGAACTCCAAAGTGAGGAGCGATCTGGGTAGATAAATTGCATAAAATTCATACACAGATACAATAAGTAATTAGGATGGCAAATGGAATGTTCTTTATTGCAAAGGGAATGGAATATAAAAGTAGGGAAGTGATGATTCCTTATTCTCTCAAAGGGCTGGGCAGGAGGTGACTGTTGAATTATGGTATAGATTCCAGGCAAGACAGGCCTGTACCTTTAAGCCAGTCACATGACATTACAACGTATGACGTTCCTGTATAAAGGTAACCGTCTTGCCTTCAGTCACATGCTCTGTGTGATGGAGTCAGTGTAGTATCTTCAATGTCTTTGTAAAGAATAGAGAACATGGTCAAAAACCATGCATACAGTTACATCAACTTAAATCAAGAGATGGATTCATAGAAACATACTACATTGTTGTGTCCAGCAGAGATCATAAGATGTGCTAAGGAGCAAATGGCCAAGTCCTGTGAAGACATAAACAACAGAACAAATTGTGTTGGTGAGTCCCTGATTTGTAATCATGTAAATAGTCAGTGTTGTAAATAAACTTCAAGATCTCTGTCTCACAAGAACCTTACTCTTTGTGGTATATGTTCCATGGGCTAATATACGAAAACCACAAACCACATCACAGATGGTGGGTGAGCAGTGTCTAAGCACATTGGTGCACTATTGTAAACTTTGGGCATGGCTGGCTAGTTTCTTTCTGACCATTAATTTTGTATGTTGAGAAGCAAGGGGAGAAATCTGAACAGAGCAAAGAACAATCAGTGGAGAAAACATAAAGCAAATTTATAGCCTGACAGTGTGTTTAAAGCTCTGTCAATTAGACTATATTAATTTCCCTGCATCACAATTTCCATAATTTAAACATCTTGTGGTTACACAGGAGGTCAAAGGTAACTCAGTCAGTCAGGCAGCTGTTCAATTCAAGTTCCATGTGGGGGAGTCAGTTCCTTTTGTTTCGCTCTCTCAGAAACACTGGAAACTGTTGTTGTCGAGTGCTCAAAGTTACAATCTATTCATATGTTTACCGAGAGCTTCTGCCAAGGGGTCTGCACTCAGTAACTGCATTGCGGCTGAACACTTGCACTATGAATGAGACATTCCCACTTTCATACCCCCACACGTTCACCTCCGGCTCAGAGCGCTGCTCCCACTCTGTGCAGACACTGCATTTGTAACCGGTCTGGGCATAATGTTTCCCACTTGTGAGTCACAAGGCCGTGTAATTGTAGTCTACACAGAGTTTAATTGTAATGCGGGGAAATCTAGGGCAATTGTGATGTCAATACTGACGTGTATTATGGACACTCTTGAAGTAATGTTTCAGTTTTTGATGCATGGCTCATTGTTGAACTAACCACACTGTAAATCCAAGCGACTGCCCTGCCATAATTTCTAGGCACTATTCTGAAACCTTGCCATGTTAGACCATAAGATGTAGCAGCAGAAGTAAGCCATTCATCAGGGTAAAAGGCCCAGGCATAGAACTAAAATATACCAAGAGCACGAGTCTCCTCTTCAAGTCATTAGGCTTTGTGTTCAGCGGAAAGATATGTATGTGCATTGTGTCTTTACTGGCCTCAGACAGTCCCAAAGCACTTTATCACCACTGAAGTGTAGTTAGTGTTGTGATGTAGAAAGGACAGCAGCCAGTTTGCACGGAGCAAGGTGCCGCAAACAGTGAGAAAGAAACGAGACTTTGATAGCCGTCTTAGGAAAGGATTGAGGCCTGTGCTGTGCTTGCTCTGATCTGTTTCATGGCTAATGGAACCATAAAGGCCTGACAATGTTTGTGTCAAATTACTCCTGAAGGCTGGAGGAGGAGCAGGATTACTTGATGACGAATGGCAGTGAACTACTCCGCCTGTATATGTCCCTCTCATGAGCTTATTTTGTCCTCGTGAACAGTTGACATTCCCCCAGAAGCGTACAAGCATGTGAATTAGGAACAGGAGTAGGGTCATTCGATCCCTGAAGTCTGCTTTCCTCTTCATGAACATCATCTGATTTTAGCCTCAATTCCATATTCCCGTTTACCTTCAAATACCTTTGACTTCCTTGTTTGTAAAGAATCTATGTACCTTTGCTTTCCAGATATTCAATAAACCCCTAAGGAGGAGGCGCTATTGATTCACAGCGGTGAGAGAAAAGAAGTTTCTCCTCATCTCCATCTTTAATGGAAGACCACTTCTTCTTTTAAACTGCGTCTCCTATTCCAATCTCTCCCACAGGGGAAACCATCCTTTCAGCATTCAACCTGTCAAATCCCTCTCAGGATCTTATATGTTTCAATAAGGCTGCCACTTATTCATCCAAACTCCAGTGAATACGGCCCAGCCTGTCCAAGCGTTCCTCATGAGATAACCTCTCCATTCCCAGGTATCAATCAAGTGAACTTGCTACATGAGCAAGAATTATCCCTAACTTGTGGCACCAGGGTGTTTTCTTATGTGACAGCTGATTCCTGGGATGGGGAAATTGAATCTAGGATCGAGCTGTTTCCTCTATTTCCTGGATAAATTGTTGAAGTGGCTTAGGCCATTGGATAGCCCTGCTTACCTCGACCAAGAAAGCAAATGTTTTTCCCTGCACTGGATAGAAGGAAGTTGATGGCCTGAATGTCCTCCTTTCTAATGGCTGTAAGTTCTTTCCCGCTTGAACTGCAGCAATCTTTACCGCTTGAAAGGTTACCTTAAGCAGTAATGTCAAGTGAGCTCCAGGTCAAGGGTCACCTCAGGTCATCTTTTCACTGCTACAAAGTCTTTGAGTCATTGGAAAAACAGGCAGGAGAATACAGAAGCTCATTGCAAACAAATGGAGAGGAAAAGAAATGCATGTCTGAAAAAAAACGGTCTTTAACTGAGTCATTTAGCAGTTAGATAAACCCCAAATGTAAATAGTATCATCAGATTATCTTGACATGAATGATCTAAATCAGAAGACATATAAGCCTAGAGCATCTATCTTTGATAGTGAAAGGAAATAACCTGCCTTTTTACAGCACCTTTCACATCCTCAGAATATCCCAAAAGCCAATTACATGCATCAGAAGTGAAGTCACTGATGTAATGAAGGAAACACTACAGCCCATTTGATTATAACAAGTCTTCATAAAGCAGCTGCGTGAAGATGATCAGATACTATGTATTTCTAACATTGCATAAATATTGGCCAGGATACTGGGGAGAATTTTCAGTGCAGTGAGGCGATTGTAACTAAACTCGCCCTGACTCAATCTCCAATTTCCAATTGGGTTCACAACTTAGTGGTGACAATCGTATCGACGTTCTGCTATCCATCTTGATGCATTGTGGTCATTAGCAGCAAAGTTTCTACCAGCAATCAAGCCTATGATCTCCCTAGGTTTTATGCTTTAGGTCTAAACCCACTACAGTGTCATCCTGCACAGAGAGGTGAGCACAAGTGGCTGACTCTTCAGTGCAGCACCGAATGAGACATAAAACCTAGATCTGTCTGCCCTGGTGAGGAGGATGTGAAGTATCCAACGACAGTATTTTGTACAAGAGCACGGGAGCTCTCCTGTGCCCTGGACAATGCTTATCCCAATGCTAATGTCACAATAAAAACAAATGTTCTGATCGTTATCACATTGCTGTTTGTGGGACCTTGCCAATTGCAAACTGTCACCTGTGTTTTCCTACATTGCAAATTGTGCCTCTAAAGTAACTCACTGATTGTAAAGACTGTGGGATACACTGAGGTGCTGATATAATTTTACTTCTAATGTGGAGTAGGAACACTGAATGGAGCCTCACACAATTAGTCCTTTTTAAATCGCACCTCCCCACCCTTCTTGCCATTCTCCACCACAAAATGAAGCATGGCACAGAGTAATTTCTGCAATCATAATGCAAAAAACAATATTGTCTCGCGTTTCTGGGAGTTTGCGTTGCATTTATTAACACTATTCCCCTGAAACTAGTGTAGAAAGTCTGATGAATTTTAAGGACAGCGACGCGGACTTGCAAGCCAAGTTTCTGTGATTCTTAATTCCTGGTTTCAAAAGTATTGGCTTGAAATTTACGGTGGATTTCAGGAGCCAGACATCAGGGGTAAAAGGCATGTTCCAAGCCCCATTTGCTAGCAAAAGGGCTGTCTCAGTGACCTCTGCATAGGCAGCCTCCCCACTTGTCTGCTGCCTGGTTTAGGACTAGGTTAGGCTCTATTCAGAAGGTCAGAATGTATGAATATACAAAATATGACGAAAGCAGATCATTCAATCCCTCGAGCTTGCTCAATAGGACCATTGCTGATCTGTTTGTGTTTCCAATTCCACATTCCCATCTATCTCCAATAACCTTTGATTCCCTTGTCTCGCAAGAATCTTTCCACCGCTGTCATAAAAATATTTGAAAACCTAATCTTTGATGCAGAGAGTTCTGAAGTCGTAACAACTATCTGTGAGATGTGTATATGAATAGGAAGAGTTCAGAGGGATATGGGCCAATGGGACTAGGTCAGATCGGATGACTGTTGTGGACGCGGTGTACTGAAGGGTCAGTTTCAGTGCTCTATGAATCTATGTCTACAGGCTCCCCTTTATCCACAGGGAATGTTACTTCTTCAAAGAACTTGGAACAAGTTGGTTAAAGATGACTTTCCTTGGATGAGAGTTCTTCCTGATTGGATTGAGTTTTTCTAAGTTTGCAGCTATAACATTTGTAAAGATCATTTTTAACACCTTCCCCATGTCCGACATCAAGCTAACTGGCCTATGGATTCCTTTCTTGTGCCTCCCTCACTTTCCCATTCTGATAAAACCTTCCCTGAATCCAGGGAATTTTGAAAATGAATGTGGACGTGATTAATGTTCCATTGACATCATCTTTAATCGTGTAAGCTCTATCTGAAGCCAGGTCCTTGGTCCCCTGTCTGCTGATGCTTTTAGTGTTTATGATTCTGTAAATAAGTGAGAGTAGGAATTTGAACTATAACTTTACTTTGGAAAGCCAGTACCATTTCAAACTCAAATTGGGCCCAGACTGCTGTTGCACCCAGACTGGAAACTCTGTCAGGAACGTTCTGTGTCCTACTGGATAGACGGAGGAGAGCTGGGAATCAACAGTGAAAGCACAATTTGAAACACGTTAACTGGAATTGTTAAGCCACTAATGCTAGGGTTTGATTGTTTGTCTGCAGGTGGGAGCATGACATTGCTGTAGTGTAGAGATATTAAGGTCCTCAAACAGACCATTAAACAGTCTTTCTTAGCTCAGTCAAACCATCACAATGTAATTCTATATCTCAGCATGAGATAGAATAGGTTCGATGGACTAAATCACCTTCCCTCTTTCCACTGATTGTTAAAACCTTTCCTTCTGTTCAAGTAATAACAGTTATTACCACTTCAGGCCTAACAAAGGCTTACTGCCAGCAACGGTGCTGAGCCAGTCCAGGGCCAAAGGTCATGTCAAGCAAGCCTTTCACTGCAACAAAGCTTCTGACCCTCATTATCTGTGGCAATCAGGCAGACAATGCAACCACTCCTACAGTTCTGTGTGGACTGACTGTCAAGATAAAGAAATTTATTTACAACATGTCTTAAAAAGCAGTAACTTCAAGAAAACGCTGACGTTGTTGACTTCTTAAACAAACTGCAAAGTTTGGAATTGGATTAAACCGGGCTAGGCAGGGCAGTGTCAATTCTCTGGGATTGTCCTCGCCACTCCGGGATTTTTGCAGGACACTGCTGCGAGCAAATTCGAGGAGAAAAATCATTAAAGGATTAAGGAGGAATGCCGTCCTTTCTTCAACTCCTGGAAGCACTTTTTGTTCAGTGGTTGCAAAAGACACATTTGCCAGGTGGCATGAGAATGGCGGAGTCTCGAGGTTGGGGGTATGGGGTCCGGTGTGGGAGAGATGTGCTGAGGTACGGGGCAGAGTTTTAATCGTGAGGTCTTTGAAGGAAGGCAAGTGGGCCCGCAATTTTCCCACCCCTGCTGGCATGTCAAGTACCTGGCTCCTGAACGTTTTCGAAGAGATCGTGTCGGAGGCAAAACAGCTGCTGTCCCACAAACTTTGGATCACCCATGGAGTCAATGTCCCATGTGTTGAGGCAGACAGTTTGCTGTGCAGCAGTAAATGTGGCACCCCAGGATATCTATTCCCATAACACTTGGTTCCTAGCTTTTTGTTGAGAACGTCGCAATACAGCACTGTCTGCGCTGGAATTTTTCAGTCAGTACTTGGTGGCTGGAGGTAGCCAACCCAGCACCCTTCCTTCCGTTGCGGTGGGGGCTGACGGGTGGGGGGCCTAGCCCTCCATTAACGTTAAGGTATACCCCGACACCCAAATCTCTAGGTCAAAGGTCACAACCGGTGCAAGATGCTGAGTACAGCTGTAGGCCCCAGGCCTCCCAGTAATGGAGCGTCTTCCGACCATGAGGGCAGCCATTTTTGTTTTGAGGGTGTGGAGAGGGCGCTTCCACTTTTGAGGCATGTTCTCTCCTCCTTGCAACAACAAGCTTTCCAGTCCTTAAATGCTCAATTGCCTACTAGTGGCCCCCTGGCCCTGGGAGTCCTTAATTAGTTAATTAGTTAGTCTTCCAGTCACTAATCGGCTACTCCTTGGAAAATCATGTTGGGTGACTGATCCCAACACTGCTGGGTCAGACTTGATCCTGATGCTGGGGCTCTGATTGCAAAAAGCAAAACTGCCTGACCATGTTCAGTGACCAAGAACATGTGCCTGGGAAAAGGCGCACTGGAGTTCAGGCGATCACCACCTCGAGGAATACGTCCAGGCTGAGGTCAGCAACCCTTAGGCCCGAAGGCAGAAGCGGAAAGATCAGAAATCATGCCGGAAAAGGAAAGTGTAAAACCTCAGCAGATCTTGCTGCGGCTGTACAGGGGGAAACAGGGTTAATGGGCAGGATATTACAGTGCCCCCCACCACCACCACCCCTCCCCCCAGCACCGTGTGTTCTCTACAGACATGTTGGGTTGGGAAGTCATGTCGGGTGCCTAGCCTAACCCTGCGCTCTACCTCGTATTATGTGGGCTAGGTGTGTGCTGAAATCAGCAGACCATCCACTCTATATAAATATTCACAGGATGTCGGCATCAATGGTGAGGCCAGCATTTATTGCATGTGCCTGATTGCACTGGACAAGGTAGTGTGGAGTTGCCTTCCTGGACTGCTGAAGTCTGTAAATTTGGAGGGACTACCCACAGCGCTTTTAGGAAGGGAGTTCCAGGATTTTGACCAAACGACAGTGATAGCATTTGGAGATAGCTCCAAGCTAGGACAGAACTGGCACATAATAATGGTTACCACGTATCTGCTGCCCTCGTGTTTCAAATGCTAACTCTGCTGTGTAGTTGAGATCATAGATTTAGACAATGCTCGCCCAAGAAGCCTTCAGTGAGTTGTTGAAGTTTGTCCCACAGATGGTACACACTTGCTGCGAATGTGCATTGGCGACCATTTATTGATGGTGTTAGATTGGGTGCTGACCAAGCAGGCTGCCATCAATTGTGCTGAACTTAAGGAGCTTAATTCTTGCTGCTGGTAATGACCCAGTGGTGGGCAAACCTGTCAATATGTGAAATGCACAACAGACAAAATTCTCTGGTCTACTTGTCATCTTTCAGGAGCTGGCAGGAGTTTCAGTCCCTCATTCAAGGGCACTCAGGCAATGAGTGAACTTTGGAAAGGGGAGCCCATGGGGACCTACAAACCCTCCCCCCCCATCTATTATTCTTGTCGCTGACCACCCCCCCCTACCCCATTCCCCACACACCTCTCCCCACTTCACAAAACCCCTCCATCATTATTTGCCTATGACCTGGGTTCTTCCTTGCCACCTTGGGTGGCAGAAAGGTCTCATTCCAGCAACAACCGTGGCCTCTGCCATCGAATTGCTTTTTCAAAGAGCAATCCTTCTGGATCCCCAAAGCCTGTTCCACATGTACAAAACGCAAGTAGGGAGTACTTCCTATTTGCCTGGATGAGGGCAACTCCAATAGCATCCTGCACAAAGCAGGCCTGCCTGAACAGCACCCTATCTGCCTCCTTAACCATTCAGCCCCTCCATCACAGTGATTGCATTTACAAGGCTGCCTCCTACAGCATTTTCCAAATCAGTGACCACATCCAAGTAGAAAGACAGTGTGGAAGCAGGCCATTCAGGCCATTGAATCCACACGACCCTCTGAACAGCATCACACAGGTCCACCTCCACCTTTAGCACAGCCAATCCACCTAACCTGCACACCTTAGGACTGTGGGAGAAAACCAGAGCACCCAGAAGAAACTCATGCAGATAAAAGGAGAACATGCAAACTCCTCACAGACAGTTGCCCGAGGCTGGAATCAAACATAGGTCCTTGGCGCTGTGAGGCAGCAGTGCTGACCACTCAGCCACCATGCCACCCATACTTGGGAACACCACCACCCCTCCAAGCCTGCCTTTGAATATATCTCCATTCCTTCACAGTCACTCAAATCCTGGAATTCCGTCCCTATGCCAAGGGCATTGTGGGACTCACAGCAGATGGACTGCAGCAGCTCGAGACGGTGGCTCACTACCACCTTCTGAAGGGGCAAATATGGATGGAGATGATAGGCTGACCCATCCAGCGACACCAAAATCCAGTGAGCCAATGAAAAAAGCGTCCATCAATTGCTCATTTAGCAGCCACTATTGGCAATCTGACCAAAGGGCTTCCTACCCTGAACATAATTCTGGTGGAAGCCAGAAAGTGGTGAGAGTTCAGGCATGCTATCATCCCATGGAATTAAATGCCCTTCCTGATTCCAAACACACCACGAGAGAAGTCATACAATTCCAGCCTAGCCCTTTTTTATGGACAACCTCCAATGGGAAGTCCCCAAAGAAAGTCAATAGAAAAGAAACGATTGTGCAACATTTTAATATCTAATTCAAGAGACTCAGGAGATCTCTGATAGTAGTTTCCTCAATGGCTATACCTGGTAATGATGTAGTATAAGTAAATCACAGAGACCAATTGAACCCTGATTTGAGTTGTGGCTTACGGACTACAATGGGTTTCAGTCAGGATTTACCCTCCTGTTCCTGTGTCAGCTGCCAGTTAAGGCGAATCTGGTGAGGAGGTCCGCCTCAGCTCTGATGCTATTGTCAGTTGAATACCTTACGAACTTCGTTGTTTATTTATTTATTTAAATACAAATTCACAAACAATATGAATATCGTTGAATTACGTTTATTGTCACAGGTTCTCATGTGAGTACAGTGAAAAATCTACAAGTCACCACCGACAAATGTGCCTAGATACATAATCTTTGGTACAAAGCAGAAAAATAAGCAAGACGAAGTTAGACATCACAATCCTTCTCACAAGAAATAGAAAAACAATGAAACACAGTTAACAGTTCAACACCACTGTCCGTAAGTGCCAGGCCCTGGTGGGCTCACACTCCTCAAAAGGTCTCAACCTCCCCCACCCTAGGCTTGATCACACCACCACCCTGGGCTGCCTGCTCCCGCTCTCGCCACCATCCGGAAATTGGGGTCCCTTTTATTCAGTATTTCCCGTATCTCATATGAGTTCATTTAACTGTGTTACAGTAGCAAATAGGCTTCAACAAGCATAAACATAAGTTTTATTGGGAGCCACAATATCCTTTTGTTTGGGAATGCGAAAAGTTTTTATTCATAGAGGAATGGAAACTAACTCTTAAATAGGGTTGGGAAGTGAACAACGGTCACCTTGGCATGAACTACCAGTCTCTAGAAATAGGGTATATCAACAAGGGAACAGGGGCAGAGGGCAGCCCTCATTAGGTAGTCCGTATAGGCAGCAGTCCTTGTCAGGGAGCTGTCTCCTTCAGATTCAAGATGGACCAGAGGAGAAGGAAGACCCAGGGAAGAGTTCCCTTGACTCATTGGCGAGAGAGCAGGAGCTGCCTTCTTACCTTTAACAAGACTGACACATTCTGCACCAACGGCCTGTTCATTCCCCGGTATCAGTAAATCATCTTCGATTGTCACTGTTGTATGCTTTCTTTGTCTAATTCACTTACGTATCATATCCATTCTGTCGTTTCTTAACAAACGCAAACACACTGAGCAGAAGAAAAATTACCTTTACCATGATACAGCAGTGCAGCAGAGTTGGGAGAGCTTTACTTTCAGTTTAAAAGAATAAGGAGGGCTTTACTTTCAGCTTAAAAGAGTAGGGCAGTGCAGTGTGAGGCACAACAATCCAGACTGGACTTCATTACCACCTATTCTATAAGGTCTGAGCTGGGCGTCTGTAAATTTGTTTTTCTCAAAAAAACAAGCAGCCTGTATTTAGTACTGGAAGCAAAAGTAGCTTTTTTGTTGGTTTGTTCTTTCTTCAGTTTTCCTGTCTTTTAATAAAAGTTAAATTTAACAACTGCTTGAGAGCTTCACAACGTGTGATGCTCACACAATGACAAGACATTATGGGGATTAGGGAAAGGGTATAGTGGTTCTAAGGGAGGGTAGCTTCTTGTAACTTTGCACTTATAGTTGCAGCTGCAATGAACGAAGCAGTGATTTATTCTCGGTTGATCAGACACTTCATGGTTTAAAGTGCCGCTATTTGTACGAACCTGATCTTCCATTTACAATGAAGTGTCGACCAGGCTACCCAAGTGCCATCAGAAATCTTTACTTTCTCATTTCCCTTCCTCTAGGTTTACTGTGAAGGCCAATTCCTGGCTGGCACCCATTTGACCTGGTGAGTGTCTGGGCTTTAAACACATGGCTGGTGGCAGAAGATCCCAGAAGGTGGCGAGAACAGCCTGAAATGGTGAGCACATGATAGTGTGAAGGTGGCATCATAATGCCTACTTTCTGAGGTGAGCAGCATGGTGGCCCTGCAAGAAATTCCTCAAAATTGACACCTGGCTGATTTTTCAGGCCTCAGTAATTTTACGAATTTTGCATGTAAGTAAGTAAGAAACATTCGAGCGGGATTGAGCTCAAGAGCCGTGAAGTTATGCTCCAGCTATACAAAAGCCTGGTTCGGCCACATCTGGAGTATTGTGTCCAGTTCTGGTCGCCTCATTACAGGAAAGATGTGGAAGCGTTGGAAAAGGTGCAGAGGAGATTTACCAGGATGTTGCCTGGAATGGAGGGAAGGTCTTACAAGGAAAGTTGAGAGAGCTAGGGCTTTTCTCTTTAGAATGACGAAGGATGAGAGGTGACTTGATAGAGGTGTACAAAATGATCAGAGGTATAGATAGAGTGGACAGCCAGAGACTTTTTCCTAGGGTGGAGGTAGCTATTATGAGGGGGCATAGTTTTAAAGTGAGTGGAGGTAGATATAGGGGAGACGTCAGAGGGAGGTTCTTTACTCAGAGAGTTTTAGGAGAGTGGAATGCATTGCTGGAGAGGGTAGTGGAGTCGGCCTCATTAGGGGCATTTAAGCGGCTATTTAGATAGGCATATGGATGATAGTATAAGGTAAGGGTGGAGGTTAGATAAACCTTAGATTTAGGGTAAAAGTTTGCCACAACATCGTGGGCCAAAGGGCCTGTACTGTGCTGTACTGTTTTATGTTCTATGTTCTATGTTCTATTACCCATGGCGGGGATTGAGAAATCCAGCTTCAAATATTATGGCCGGGGTGGGGAGGTGGGATTTAACCTTTGTATAAATGGCAGGAGTTTAATCCACCATCCTCCCATATACATTGGGTAGGATGACGTCAATGTGGTCAGAGAGCAGCTGTTCCTCCTAAAAATATAGCAAAATTTCCATGCAATAGCATGACCTGTTGAGCGGCTAGCTGTTTATTTGTAAATGGTCAGGGTTCAACTGCACAGCTGCAGAGTACAAGCTAGCTCCAAGGATGCCAACCCTCCCAACAAGCTGTGTAAAGCAGAAGATGCAGTGTCCTTGCGGAGCCAGACGAAAAGAAATGCAGTACTACAAATTGGATGCCTGCTACAAATATGGTTCAAAATTTTGAAGTGTCGGACAAAGCAGTAATTTATTATCGGTCAAGAAATTAGGGAACAAACGTGGATCTTTATGGTAACTTTCACAAGCTTAGGGTACCCCACCCCCCACCGAAGAATTTCACAGCCAATCAAGAATTTTTTTTTTGAAGTGCACAGCAAGATCTCAACAAACAAAGCCACAAGATAGAAGAGCAGTTAATCTGTTTCCAGCTGGTGTTGGTTTCAAAAATAGACTTTGGGCTGGATTTTGTGGGTGGTGAGGGAATGGTACTTCCTGTTGTCCTCAAAGAAAGCTGCCCATAAGGGATCGAGCAGATCTCCTCCTTCCTTCTCTGACATTAAGTCGAATCTAGCATCACCACAAAGGGATGTCCGTGATGCGTAATCACCAGAGGGCACGAAGAGAAACCATAATTTTTGTTTTGTAAAATTATATTCTCTTCATGGTTCTCCTGTTTAAGCATATTTAATACTCAACACTGCTGAACTCTTAAGATGTGATTAATAATCATATTACATAGCTGGAGCGTCTTGACAACACTCTGCAAGTGCAGGCAGCCTGCTCATTAGCGCCTGGAGACTTGGCCTGCAACCTGCTGTGACTAAGAGCTTCCCACCGTTGTCCCGATTCCCATGAAAACCATGACACAAAGGAATTACAAATTACTAATGTCTACTGCGAAAATGGTAATAGCAGTCCCATGAGCCTCTGTGATGAGCCATCAGCGCCTCCCCCCTCACAATAGCCCATTTTGATGGTAACGTTTGGAATTACTTCTTCCTCTGAATGGCTTAACAGAAAGCACTCAGACTGGAACCTGCACTTGTCGAACTGTTTAAGCGTACGGTTTTTAACTTTTGACTTCGATTGCTAGCCTTAATAGCACGAGAAGAACAGCTCCAGGCTTTAGCAGCCGGAAATCATCACTCAAGTCTTCTCCCTCCTGAAGGTCTTATTTCCAGAAAGAACCTTGGAGTTGGCCTGCCCATCTCTAACAGGACTATCAACCCAGGAAATACTGCTACACTTTCATTTACACCCCTGCTCCCAGGGAAAGAATTGTTACAATATCAGCTGACAGACGACATAAATTGCAATTATTTTCCTTCCCTTTCTCTTTCTTTCTATCTTGTATGCCTGTGTCAATGAAATAGCAAATGCAATGCAGTTCCCCTGCCTTTTACTGTTTTGTTAAATAAACCCTACCTTTGGTTTCATCTTGAGGGATTTTTGCTTTGGGCGCGAATAGAGTGAGCGAACAGCCCTGAGATGCAGCCTGACTATGTCTCCTGTGATTGATCTCCTGACTGCCGAAAAATCTTTTGACCAGCAAAGCATGAGTCAGGAAGACAAACGCTCACTACTAGAGATAGCACGAACTGCAGATGCTGGAGTCAGAGACAAGACAGTGTGGAGCTGGAGGAACACAGCAGGTCAGGCAGCATCCGAGGAGCAGGAAAAAGCTCACTACCAGCTTGGATCAGTGCGGTTCCACAATACTTAAAAGAGCCCATTGGATCAGCGCTTAAACATTCCTTCCCTTCCTCCACTGTGGCTACAGAGTGTACCAAGATACACTGAAGCAATAACAGGCTTCCTTCAGCAACACCTCCCAAATCCATGGCTCCTGCCACCTATTCGAATAATGACAGGAGGTTAAGGGGAACACCATCGCCTACTGGTTCCCTGTCAGTCATATGCTGTCTTAACCTGGCCAGACGTCATCTTTACTTCGTCATTGCTGGGTCAAAACCCTGAGTACTGGGGGAGCACCTTCACCTCACTGACTGCTTGATTCAGATTCTGAAGGGGCTGGATGGGACATAGAAGCCGAGAGATTGTTTCCACTGGGCAGGACACAAGGGCCTAGCCTCAGAATTAGGGGAACAACCACTTAGGACTGAGATGATGAGAAATGACTTCACTTAAGATATCACGACTCTTTGGAATTCACTAAAGTGTGGAGCCTCTGTTCATAGGGATGGGCAGATTTTTTGGTCTCTCATGGAATTAAGGGATGTGAGGAGCAGTAAGGAAATTGAAGTTGACGCCCCAAGATAGCTATGTTTGTAGTAAATAGTAAGCAGCCTCCGTGGGCTACTCCCTCTCCTCTCTCTTTTGTTCTTGTGACTTCTGCAGTTCAACAAGACAGCTCATCACCACCTTCTCAAGGGCAACTAGGGACAGGAAATAACTGCTGGCCCAGCCAGCGATACCTACATCCTGTGAATGAATGAGTAATTAAAATTTGAAAACAGCTAAGGCAGATGTTAGAGCAGATTTAATCTTGAGTAATCCATCCAAAACACCTAAGGACCTGGAAGTATGTGAACACTTTGTTCTGTTGCTTGTTGTGTGGTTAGGTTGAATATTGTAATAATGACTAATAAGGCCAAAAATAATTTGGAAGAGCAAACTCTGGGACTAACGACTAAAATATTGGTGGTTGGGTGTAGGGTGGGGAATTCAGTGAAAAGTACAAGGAGAAAATGAAAATAAACAAAAAGGGATTTGTTTCGAAGGTATGTTTGAGGGATTTATAAAGGGCAAAGTCAAAAGCCCAGCACAATAGCAGCTGCATTTATGGTTTGAATCCTTGATGCTCTTTCCCATTCCTTTCTTTAACTTCCACCAGCCCTACAACTCCGCAAGAACATGGTCTGTTCTGGTCTTGTGCATCTCCAATGTTCTTCACTCTACCATGGGCCACCTTTCATTCTCCTAAACTCCCATGAGTATTGACCCAGTCTACTTAATCTTTCTCAGAAAACAAATTCCTTATCCCAAGAATCAGCTACTGCCTTGAACAAATTTGAACGCTAATATATTTCTCTCTAAATAAGGAGACCAAATGTGTACACAGTGCTCCATGTGCAGTCTTACCAATGTCCTGTACAGCTGTAGCAAGGCTGCCATCCTTTTATACTGCATTTGCCTTGAAATAAAGGCCAACATTCCAATTGCAGTCGCTATTTACTTGCTGTAACATTGTGCGATTTGTTGAAAAGGACACCCAGCTCACTCTGTGCTGCAACATCTCTCCATTATAACGTGCTGCTTTTCTATTTTTCCTTCCAAAGTGGACACTTCTTTCCCACATTATACTCCATCTGCCAACCTATATCTATTTGCTGACTGTTCTTATCAAGGAAATTATAACTGACGCACCTACTACCTCTGCAACCACTTCACTTAGTCCAGGGGTGCAGCTCATCAGGTCCAGGAGATTTTTTGATCTTTAGTCCTATTAGTTTTTCTGGTCATCGTTCTCTAGTGATTGTAGTTATTTCCCCTTTGCTTTTGCCTCTTGATTTTCTACAATTCTTGGAATGCTTAATGTGTTTTCGGCTCTAAAAACAGACACAAGATATTTGTTTGAAGTTCAGTTCCTTGTTTCCCATTATTAATTAAGCAATTTGATGATCTAAGGGACCAATGCTTACTTTAGCTACTCTCTTTTTGGATGCTCGCAGGAATTTTTACATCTACAAATGTGTTTCTATTTATATGATGTTAGTTTTCTTTCACACTCCAATTTCTCTCTCCTTTTTTAAAAATCATCCTTTAAAGGTTTCTAAAGTCTCCTCAGCCTTCTGAGCTACCACTAATTTTTGCATCATTATATATCTTTTCTTTCAATTTGATACCATTTTTAAATTGATAAATTAGTCACATATTTAGTGCAAGCTTCTCATAGCATCGTTCTTTCTCAATGTACATATACCTTCATTGAAAGTTTATAAACTTCTCCTTAAAAATCTGCCACTGTTTCTTTTCCATATTTCCTTTAATTTATTTCCCCATTGCACTCTACCCAGGTCTGTTTTTATACCCTTGTAATTA